TAGAAATGTTATAATAATAATAATAATCTACCTACAAGTAACTATTTTTTAAGTTTAAACTTGCTGCATTTTTTTCTGAACTGAGTAAGCAACACTACAAAGGCAGGTACCACACTGCTCTATATTGCTTTTGTAGAAATAAACAAGTCTGCCCTCTGGAAATAAATAGGATTCCTTTTAGCTTGCCAAAAATCAAAATAAATGAATATGGTTTCGTAAAGCATGTCTAGAAGAAGCATGTTTCAATACAAATTAAAGATAAAAGAAAAAAAGATCTGGCATCATTCTAAACTATATAAATAGCTAAACAAAATGTGTTAAGTTGGTTCCCAAAGATTCTCTTCCACTGAGTTAAGTCTGTTCAACTAGGAGGACGAAACTTTTGGATACACTTGTATCCTGCATTACTGCATACTATTCTCTTAGTATTGCTGATATGAAATTCTTTTGTCATGGAAATAAACTCTTGTAAATCACAATTGTTTAAACTAATTACTGGAAACTTTCAGGGAAGTAAATTGAGCGCTGATACACACAGTACTGTGTCTTTGCTAACTAATCACACAATTCACAGATTCGTTTACAGTGTTTGATGAGCAGGGACTGTTTCGAATTTACAAATATGATCTCTTCCTGGTATGGTCAAAAATGTGTGCATACGTATGGCTCAATTTGCCTGAGATTCATGTCTTGCATCAAAAATGATCAAGTGTTAAGCCAGAATGAGTTAGTGCTAGGTTGTTCCCAAGGTACTTGGATATATTGGGCACAACAGTGCAAGGTTCTTATCAATTTATTTGGGAGAAAACACAAACCTCTTAAGCCCTACAAGAGATATAACTGCTAACAGCTGCTATAGGCATAGGTTGCTTCCAGAAAACATTTGAAATATTCTGTTTTACCCAAAAGATGCCGTTTTAGGCCTGTTCCATGTATTGCTTCTTGCATTCCAATCCAAAGTCAGGAAAGCAAGCAGAGGTTGCAGAGGGGTGTGTACTGGAAGTTCGAAGGAACTGGCCTCCACACTTTTGTTGTCCATCATTCACAAAGTTTTGGTTTAAGGAGAAGTATCCAGACAAAAAGTATGAAGACAAAAGGAACGAACTTGTATAAAGTTATTTATTTGCATATACAGACCATCCAATCCACAAACAGAAATGGAAAAAAACAATATACACTTAAAAGGTTATGAATTTTTTTATAAACATTTCCTTTAAAAATGTCATACTGTACAGTACCAAGGCAACCTGATATACAAAAGTTATTTAACAGTATTTCCTAGAGGTTGCAAACCTCACCACCACCTATTTAATCTACCTTTCTCAGTGGTTCCCACTCGACACCAACTATCTATTCCAAAGAGCATGACAAAATCTTCACATTCAGGGATGTGTATAGAGCCTGCTGTTGAATAAAAGAGGTCTGGGCACTATTCCAACAAGAAAAGGGACTGGAGCAAAACATTTATTATTCACTGTAAAGTCACATATGGAAACATTACAAATCTAACAGATTTGTCCAAACAAGGCTGAGTAAAACAGTACTGCCCATAAATTCAGTATTTAGGATCCTTTGAACAAAGCCATGCAACTTCCCCACCCCACTACACCAGAAGTGCTAAGGAACGTCTCCATCTACTTGAGGATCTTGTCCCTCTAGAAAATATGCACAGTATCACATAAAGAGCCATATATTCCATAAATAGCCAAGCGGGGCTGTTCCATTGTATTTAACATGCTATGTCAATAGTCTTCTTAACTGACTCTTATTGTTCAGAGGGCAAAGGCACAACCCCCCCCCCACCCCCCAGTTTTTTAATGTAACGCATGGGCTTGATTTTGATATCTACACCACATTTTGAAATGGAAGAACTAGTCAAGTGTTCTGCTGATATTTTGAAATTACTTATCTCCAACTCTTATCTAGTAGTATTTCACATCAAAAACAGGTTTCTATCCATTATTCATCAAGAAGAGTTGCCTTTTAATCAAAGAAGAAAGAAAAAAAGAAACCACCCAATATATTTATGTCCTGCTTTGTCTGCATTGAGACATTCAATGACACAAATACATTGTGTGATTTTATTTAAACAAAGAAATATATTGCACAATTGCCATCAATTTTAAGAAAAACCAACTTTTTTGTGATTCTCACTTTTTAATACAGCGTAAAGATACTTTCATATGAATGGCATGCAATCATAAATGTTTAAGAAAACAAGTTCCTTTGGAATCAGGAGGACTTATTTTCAATGTAATATATTAGGTGCAATGCCATTTGGGACTTTTTCCACCCAAGATAAAATACCCCTTCTTGTCTCACACGCATCCTTTATGAACACTGCTTTTGGACCTCTCATGCTTTCAAACACCAATATTCACCTCTACTGTCCAGTATTTTGATTGAAACAAGCATCAGTTGATATTTATTTTCAAAGTTCTTAAAGAGTTCCATAGAGGACCTTACTAAAGGCAAGTTCTTGCGTGAACAGAACATGGGCTATACACAGTTTCAGAAATGAAGTAATATATCATATGCTCCTTTACTCAAGACACTGAGTCCAGTCCAACTTCTAGGTGATTATTAAGAGCCAGTATGGCATACTGAGGAGTGTCAAATTTTAACCATAGAGAAAGTCATTCAGATCTCCAGTCTGTAATGAAGAAAGTAGTCTTTGGGCTACTCAACTTCCTCAGTCAGAGCCAGCCTTAGGGTGTACTTTCACCATCAACCCTATAGAACAAGGGCGGACAATGTACATCCTCCCCATCATCTTTTGCCACCTCCACAACACCACAAATGTCAGCAGATTGAGCAGGAGAAAAACCTGGCAGGTTGCCAGCAAAAATCAACTGGAAACCTGAAGTACTGCAGTAAGCCAATGACCTTTTCTTTTCTTTTCTTTTCTTTTTTCTTTCTCTCTCTCTCTCTTTTTGGTGCCAGCAATCCTATGTGACCCATAGGGGCCTGGAAGCAGCAAAGTGACCCCCAAAATTGCCCACCGTGGCCATGGAACTTTGCAGAAAGGATTGAATGAACACATGATTAAGGATCAAAGTGAGAGGATTACTCACATGAGCAATGCTTTTTCCTAATGCACACCATGATTTTATGTTAAAAATTTACAGAAGCAGTATTTAAGCCTAGCTTCATATAGATTTATGTTAGCTGTCTAATTCAAACAGAACTAGCTTGCTTCAAGCCAGAAATGGCTATTTGCTTCACAGAAGCACAATATTCATGGCCTCCTTGCTCCTTGGTCACGTTCAAACAGTAGTCCCTTCACCAACAAATTAGCAAATATGGCCTATTTGAACTCACTTTTTGCTGTTAGCAATATGCTTTAAATCGTATTTGTTGGGGTGAGGTGAATATACACTTTAAAAAGTAAATGTATACATATACTCCTGTTGACTTCAGCCAGAGTCGTACCATATGTGTGTTACAGAGAAATTGTGCAGCTTATAGCTAAGTGTCATTGCATTTAGTTCAACATCCTCATTTCATAATAGACCCTTCACATTTAACATTGATTATTTCAGAAATAGATGCAGATACACTTCCTGAAACAGATGCAGATATATATCTTACAGCTTAGTCATGTAATCGACAAGGCATAATATTTCCCATAACTTTTCCATAACTATCTGTAGGTATGCCTACTTATGGAGTTCCCATTAGCATGTAAGAGACAGTGTTAAAATATTTTAGTTAATTTAAATAAATTTAAAATAAAGTTTTTCTAGCAAAATTAAGGTGAAATGGTATCTTGCTAATTCTCTTTTAAAAGCTCACTGCTTTCAGTGGAAATTTATAAAGTCACTAATGTTTTCAAAATAAAGCATTATCTGCATGCTTAATTTGTTTTTCAGTAGTCAGCGTTTGGCACCAATGCTTCTTGTTAGTAAAAGCATGTTCATGCATGCAGAATCAGCGTGTTAGAAAAAAAGTTAAGTATTGAGAGAAGCTATTTTCCTAGCAGAAAAAAATAATCCTTGACTTCCTCTTGAACACAGCAACCATCTTATCACAGAAGAATTCAGCCCTATAAACAAAAGCTATTTCTTTGCATTCCATAAACCTTAATTATATTCTTGTAAGGACTGAAGTTTTACCATGCAAAATTTAAAACATATTGCCCAACTACCATACCTCAAAATACCAAAATCACATTCAAAGAAAGACATTCCAAAGCAAAATCATTTAAGGAACATGGTGGAATAACAGGGATAATATGATCCAACAGAAATAAAGTTTGTTGATGTAGAGAGAGATTTTTCAATTAAGCAGAGACATTTGAAAGAGCACCTTTTGTTACACAGGTCTTCAGTCTAAACAACCACTGCAATAACCAAGTCATAACAGAGTTTGTACTCATAGAGCTTAGACAGCTGGCTGAAAAACAGTACTTACAATGTAGTCTTGGCCAAATCCCAAATGGCTGTGGAAAAACACTTGCCACATGAAGAACAACATGGCTTGATTGGCCAATTTCACTCACAAAACAACATTTCTCCCTTCTCCAAAGTTACTGTCAACCAGTTCAAAATAATGACTGATGTTCTTATGATGGCATGGTCAACTTAGTTTTTAAAAAGGCCTAACAGCATCCCAGTATCTTATACATGGCTATAGTTTCCATATCCGTTTGACCCTACTGGCATTTGCAACCTTTCGTACCCTAAAATCCTACACTTGTTTCCAAATCATCATTTCCACAATGTTGTGAATGCTTTAAAAATAAAACGATCCAACTTCACTTGTTCTTGGACACAGTTACGTAAGGACTGCTGAAGAATTTCTGTACAATACTGAAAATTGGCATTAGGAGTTTCATATGTCAGAAGTATATAATTCTTCAGTGTTTTGCCTTTAGTGAATAATTCCAATGACATAAGGATGTGATTCTATGACCTGAGGACAGTTGAAGACAAGATGAGCTAAGTTCACTAGGCCAAGAGATCAGGATAAGAATAAAGGTCATTAACACTGCATTCACCAATAGCATATGATATTAGTCAAAACAATGCTAAGGAGTTTTGGGTTCTTATTTTAGTTAATTGATTTCCCTTGTACAGGTATTTTTGTATGCCAACCCTCCACCCCCTCAAAAAACCCCCACCTCAAGCACACAAACTATTACCTAACATGAGCACCCCATATGCTAAGAGCAACACACCCCATCCCCACCCCATAAAAGTAATGTATACATACATGTAAGAAGGGGTGTAGACCCCTTGGTTCTAATACACTGAAACTATAGGAACATACCCTAAAGTATTTGGCAACCTGTGAGAACTTACTTGTTAACACATTTTAAGGTTTCTCTTTAAGGGATGGAGAAGGTTCAGGCACTATTTTCATGATTAGATTTTAATCCACTAAATGATTTCCAAGAGTCTTTCCCAACTTGTAGCTGAACCCTCTGCATATTCACTTGGAAGCAAGTTCCACTGAGTTCAGTAAAAACTACTCCCAGTTAAGAATGAATGACCCTGTAGCTTTAAGCAGAAGATATTAGTAGAAATGTTCTTGGAAGAGAAAAAACACTAGTAGCTTAAAGCATCCAAACACAACTTTTGCCCAGGTAAATGTAACCATAACAGCATTTCCCCTTACTGCATCAGGGTTTAGCATATGCTACTGAGCTCTCAAGTGCACTGATGTGTAGTACATTTAGTATTGTAAAATGAATCCTTGCTCCTTTTTCTGCCCACACTTCCTATCATACTATTCAAAAGATGGCTATTCTGTAAACAAAAATCAGATATAAAATCAGATGTTATTTAGTACCTAGTTCTGTGCTTATTACCCAAAGTAATCAAGAGGGAAAGAGTATAATTTCATTTATTACGGGAATCAGCAGTGATGCGGAAGACACCCAGAAATGGCATGAAAAGACTGTTCAGTCCCTCCCTTTGTAGTCAATGCCCCTATCACACCCACACTGCTATCAAAAAGCTGAAACGAGAGTTAGATGTCATGCATATGGCTGGACTATTAAAAACCTTCTGTACAGAAAGACTTCTTTCCACCTCCCTGTTTTGATACTGTGCTGAAGCAGAGGCTGTGCCCACAGCTGGAAGGTGCAGATGTTTGGAATTTGATACACGCTGCAGTTGCAAAGACAGTTACAGCAATAGAGGCTAATGCATGTATATATTTCAGGGAACTTAACCTCAGCAGAATTGCTTAGGTATAGCCAACCTTACACTGAAGACAGGAAAAGGGGCAATTGAGCTGGACAGAGGAATTTGATGGCCATTTTATTAAGTGAATGGATTAAGTGAATTCTGGTGGGAATAAAAGGCAATCTGATGAGAAATGGAAGACCCATAGCTCAGTACTAGAGCACAAGCACTGCATAGAGGAATTTCCAGGTTCAATTCTCAACGTCTCTAGATAGGGCTGGGGAAGAATTCCTGTCCTAAACTACTACTAGTCAATACCAATGATACTAGGCAAGAAAAAGGTCTGATTCAGTGTAAGGCAGCTCTCCATATTATGTTACCTATGCTACCCTGATATCAAAATAAGACAAGGCACAGAAAAATTATTAACATAAAACATCTGAAAACTTTACTGCTAAAGAAATCTGATGGGATAAGGGGAAAGTATATTATTCTACAGCACATCACCTAGAAAGTCTGCCATTGCTCTAAGTAGAAATGAACACCCAAGTTCTAATCAGATGTAGTAAACTGGATTCAAATTCCTCCAATCTTGACCGAGAAAGGGGCATACAGGCTGTGAGGAAAGGGAGGATAGCTGCCTTCTTGCAACAGTTTCTGCCTGCAACATTTAAAGCTATAGTGAAATGAATTAAGCCTAATGGCCCCACAGATCAGAACACACAGCCTGTTTTCATGTACAGTATATATGCTAAATTGAGGTTAAAAACAAAATAGGTTAAAATACAGAGTCAGTTCAGACGCAATAGGAAACCATGTGCACAAGGAAGACACTGGAACCTTTTGCTTCCACTTTTAAACAAAATGCAGTTCCCTCCTATTAACAAACCCACGGTACTGTTAATTTAACAATCTTTGGCTGCAATTCTATGCATGCTTACCTAGGAATAAGCTCCACTAAACCTAATGGGTTTATTTTGTTTTGGATTATACGGTTCAAATAACAAGCTATGATCTGAAACTATGGCTTGATCACAGTTTGTTTCAACTAACATTGATTAGAAACCACAATCCCATGAGTTCATATGTAAAGAAAAATCATCATGTAAAGAAGCAGCTTCCAATCTTCTCCTCCCAAGCATAAAAGGGGAAGGGGGGGAACTACACAAGCTCAAGGATCACCGGGACTTGTTCATGAAGCAGAAAACAATGGTTTCTCATTAGATGTGAACTGATCTAAAAGGGTACAATGCAAAACCAACAAAAAGCAGCTTCTTCCAAAGGATGCATTTCGAGTGTATATGTAGGGAAGCATACAAAAAGGGGGAAATGTGCATACATTCACTTGTTAGAACATGAGCTTAATTGCAGAGAAGGTCCCACCAACTATGTGAGGCAGGTATTTCATATTGGCACCCACTTCTTCCAGCATCTTACACTAAACAAGCACACCCAAGATCCAAAGTTATAATTCTGATCCCCTCTAATATTATGCTGGAACAAAAGGTGGTAATAATAATGTATGCACTCTCCCCACAACACAAAGATGAAAGGAAATTAAAATATTGCAAGAGAAAATAAGGGAAAACACTAAAAATCAGTCTGCCCACCTGTTATCCTCTTACCGTCTCCTTTCTTTCATTAATGGCCAATGATATTCCACAGATTTATTTTAAAATTCTCAAGTTGAAATAAATGACAATTGTGAACAACTACTGTGGTACAACTTGGCAAGCATGTCTATCCTAAACCATTTTAGACCATCCTAATCTGAGGTAGAACATCTTGCTGATTTTCTTTCCACCCATTAAGGAAAACTGATGAATTATTTATAAACATTTTCTCCTGCTGAATGCAAATAATCTAATAATCAATGCTAGAAAAAGTCTCATCTTTTCATTCCTAGCACCGTTCAGAGTTTGAAGTCTTCCCTTTTTTGCTTTTATTAGGGAAATACTGACGTGTCCATGCTCCATTTAGGCCTGTGGCATCTACTGCAACATCAATTAGTTCATCTGGTGTCATCCACCTCAAGAATGTCAGGAAAAGAAAGCTGAGCACAGCCAAGAGAGCAAAAATGCAACCAGTCACTGGGCCGCAGTGAGAGACAAGTCTGTCGAGCCGTGTGCTCATTGGCAATACAGTTTCACCTGCAACTCTGTTGTAGACCTAAGGAAGAAATAGGGAGATAATTAGGTTTGTCTGCAAGATTCCCTTTGCATTATGTAATAGAGACAACTGCTCCCAACAAAGATTATACATAAATGTCATAGATAGGAGCACCTATGGGGCTTATGAGAGGTCAGGAAGAGGTCAGGTATCCATACAATTCTTCCATCTTGCAAGATGAATTTATTAATTCACAACAACATAGCATTCAGAAAACTACACACCTATTTCCCATCCTACAGGATACAATAAGTCAGATAAAAGAATTTTCATATTGGAAAGATAAACAGCAAAGTCATGAAAAAGCTCTCAGTTTATTAAGATTTGTGAAGTTATGCTAACAACATAGTGAATTTGGAAGATTACTTCTGTGACATAATTTTAGAACAAGGCACTGTGAAATAGATCTCACATCCTCCAAACTTACTGTTCTTCCACTGTCTCTTGAAATAACTAAAATGATAATCTAGAACAGGGGTGGGCAATTAATTTTCCTATGGGGCCACATGAGAAACTTTGACAGTTCTTAAGGGCCGGACCAGTACACTTACAGCTCTGCTCAATATATATCTCTATAAAAACAGTAAATGAAACATTACAATGATATAATGAAAATGTGGAGCACAGAACAACACTATTTAATGAATAGTCACAAAAACATTAACATTACGTGAAAAGCAATAAATTCAATTCAATTTAGCAGATCCTTCAAAATAAAAGCAGTGCAGTTGTATTGCTTGCATCTATATTGTGACAATATATATTTGCATTGACTTTTAATTTGCCAGTGACCTCATGCGGGCCAGTCAGGGTCAGCCATCGGGCCGGATGTGGCCCACGGGCCGTACAATGCCCAGGTCTGATCTAGAAGATATAAAGGCTATATGAGTTTCCCTATATGAAAGTTAACCTACTTTTTCTGTTCTCTTTGCAACATTTCTCCAAGTATAAAATGTTTTAACTTTCCTATGTATGATTTCTGGAGATGGACGTGATCCTGACTTCTGCTGGATGATAGCTTTTTCCAACCCATTACACAGAGACTTCACTGAAGGCTCACACAAGATTATAAGATCATCTGGTAACACCTCAGGAATCCCACCAACTCTTGTACTCACCACCTGAAAAAACAGAGAATTATTGTAACACTTATGAAACAGTTGATGTCTCCGAAGTCTCTATCTTACTATACTGTAAGGAATAGTCCATCTAAAAAAGACTGAAAATTTTTATTTTTATTCTACCATTCAACTAAGTCACACACATAACTGTCTTCCTTTTTAATTCTTACAGTGATCCTGTGAAGCAGATGAAGTTGGATTCACAGAGCACAACAACCCATCATAGGTAACAAGCCACAGTGGGTTGCCGTGTCATGTGAACCCAGACTATTTCCACAAGACTTGTTTGTTGAAAGCAAGCCCCTCTGACAATTCATGGCTTGTTCAAAAGGATGCTTGGACCTGAGTATTGGGAACCAGCAAGTAAGCTTCTTGGCAAGAGCATCAAAAACATGCCCCCTCGTGGACATTGACCCAGCAAGGCTGACAAGAGCTTTGTTTTTATTATGGTTTGTCCTAACAGTTCTCAAAAGATGAGTGGTCAAGAGAAACAAAAGCTTATATTTTCTAGTTTGAGCACATTTGACAGACAGTTAAAAAAACTCTCTTAGAGGTAACAAAAAAAGACAAAGCAAATGAGATGCCAGCACCAGTGAGACTGACGCATGCACTCTCATGTGTCACGCCATCCCATTCAGCAGTCTTCCCAGGGTTTGGATTTTTTTAAAGAACTGTCAAGGTACTGCAGTAACCACAGCAGATAATGCCCCACAAAGGAAGAGGATAGATATTTGCCCTTTCTGGAGTAGCCAGAGACCCAGGAAAGGGTAAAAAAAAATGTGGAGGGCACCGTGAACTGTAAGCTCAGCAATTAAAAATCCAGAGAATTATAATGCTAAAAGTGAGAACTTGTCACATCTCCCTTTTGATATACCAACTTCCCCACCCACTTCATGGATCACTGCCTTGTCATGGCAAAGGGGCTTGCGTAGCTCAATGAAGCTATGAGCTATGCCATGCAGGGCCACCCAAGACGGACAGGTCATAGCAGAGGGCTCTGACAAAATGTGATCCACTGGAGAAGGAAATGGCAACCCACTCCAGTATCTTTGCCATGAAAACCCCATGGACAGTACCAAAAGGCAAAAAGATATGATGCCAGAAGATGAGCCCCTCAGGTCGGAAGGTGTCCAATATGCTACTGGGGAAGAGCAGAGGGCTAGTACTAGTAGCACCAGAAAGAATGAAGCGACTGGGTCAAAGCCGAAAGGACACTCAGTTGTGGATGTATCTAGTGGTGAAAGGAGAGTAAGATGCTGCAAAGATCTATACTCCATAGGAACCTGGAATGTAATATTCATGAATCAAGGCAAGCTGGATGTGGTCAAACAAGAGATGACAAGACTGAACATCGACATCTTAGGAATCAGTGAACTAAAATGGGCAGGAATGGGTGAATTTAATTCAGATGACCATCAGGTATACTACTGTGGGCAAGAATCCCTCAGAAGAAATGGAGTAGCCTTCATAGTCAATAAAAGAGTAGAAAAAGCAGTACTGGGATACAATCTTCAAAATGACAGAATGATCTCAGTTCGAATCCAAGGCAAACCATTCAACATCACAGTAGTCCAAGTCTATGCACCAACCACTGGTGACCGGTTCTATGAAGGCCTACAACACCTTCTAGAATTAACACCAAAAAATGATGTCCTTATCATCATGGGGGATTGGAATGCTAAAGTAGGAAGCCAAAAGATAACCGGAATAACAGGCAAGTTTGGCCTTGGAGTACAAAATGAAGCAGGGCACAGGCTGGTAGAATTTTGTCAAAAGAATATGATGGTCATAGCAAACACTCTTTTCCAACAACCCAAGAGATGACTCTACACATGGACATCACCAGACGGTCAACACAGAAATCAGATTGACTATATGCTCTGCAGCCAAAGATGGAGAAGCTCCATACAGTCAGTAAAAACTAGACCAGGAGCTGACTGTGGCTCAGATCATAAGCTTCTTGTTGCAAAATTTAGGCTTAAATTGAAGAAATAGGGAAAAGCACTAGGCCACTCAGGTATGACCTAAATCATATCCCTGATGAATATACAGTAGAGGTGACAAATATATTTAAGGAATTAGATCTGATAGACAGAGTGCCTGAAGAACTATGGATGGAGGTTCGCAACGTTGTACAAGAGGTAGCAACTAAAACCATCCCAAAGAAAAAGAAAGCAAAATGGCTGTCTGAGGAAGCTTTACAAATAGCTAAGGAAAGAAGGAAGCGAAAGGCAAGGGAGAAAAGGAAAGATACAAACAATTGAATGCAGAATTCCAGAGAATAGCTAGAAGACATAAGAATGTCTTCTTACATGAACAGTGCAAAGAAATAGAAGAAAACTATAGAATAGGGAGGACCAGAGATCTCTTCAAGAAAATTGGAGATATGAAGGGAACATTTCATGCAAAGATGGGCATGATAAAGGACCAAAATGGCAGGGACCTAACAGAGGCAGAAGAGATTAAGAAGAGGTGGCAAGATTACACAGAAGAACTATGCAAGAAAGAGCTTAACATCCCTGATAACCACAATGGGGTGGTCACTGACCTCGAGCCAGACATCCTGGGATGTGAAGTTGAATGGGCCTTAGGAAGTCTTAGCCACAGCAAAGCTATTGGAGGAGACAGTATTCCAGCTGACCTATTCAAAATCCTAAAAGATGATGCAGTAAAGTGCTACACTCAATATGTCAGCAAATTTAGGAAACTCAACAGTGGCCACAGGATTGGAAAAGGTCAGTTTACATTTTGATCCCAAAGAAGGATAATGCCAAAGAATGTTCAAACTCCCGCACCATTGCACTCACTTCACATGCTTGCAAACTTATGCTCAAAATCCTACAAGCTAGGCTCCAGCAGTATGTGTACCGAGAACTTTCAGACATACAGGCAGGGTTTCAAAGAGGCAGATAATCTAGAGATCAAATTGCCAACATAATGCTGGATCATAGAAAAAGCTAGGGAGTTCCAGAAAAACATCTACTTCTGCTTCACTGACTATATTAAAGCCTTAGATTGTGTTGATCACAACAAATTGTGGCAGGTTCTTAAAGAGATGGGAGTACCAGACCATCTTATTTGTCTTTTGAGAAACCTATATGCAGGTCAAGAAGCAACAGTAACAACTGGACACGGAACTACTGATTGGTTCAAAATTGAGAAAGGAGTTCGACAAGGCTGTATACTGTCGCCCTGCCTATTTAACTTATATGCAGAACACATCATGAGAAAGGTGGGGCTAGATGAATCACCATTTGGAATTAAGATTGCTGGAAGAAATTTGAGCAACCTCAGATATGCAGATGATACCACTCTAATGGCAAAAAGTGAAGAGGAACTAAAGAGCCTCTTGATGCGGGTGAAGGAAGAGAGCGCAAAAGTTGGCTTGAAACTCAACATTAAGAAAACTAAGATCATGGCATCCGGTTCTATCACTTCCTGGCAAATAAATGGGAAAGAAATGGAGGTAGTGACAAATTTTATTTTCCAGGGCTCCAAGATCACCGCAGATGGGGACTGCAGCGAAGAAATCAAAAGATGCGTGCTCCTGGGGAGGAAAGCTATGGCAAATCTAGACAGCATACTGAAAAGCAGAGACATCACCCTGCCAACAAAAGTGAGTATAGTCAAGGCTATGGTTTTCCCACTTGCAATGTATGGCTGTGAAAGTTGGACCATAAGGAAGGCTATGCTCCAAAGAATTGAGGCCTTTGAATTGTGGTGCTGGAGGAGACTCCTGCGAGTCCCTTGGACCACAAGGCAATCAAACCGGTCAGTCCTAGAGGAAAAGGAAGGATTCACTGGAGAAGGGACTAATGCTGAGAACATTAGATGGCAAAAGAAGGACGGCAGAGAATGAGGTGGCTAGATGGAGTCACTGAAGCAGTTGGTGTGAGTTTAAGTGGACTCAGGGGGATGGTGGAGGACAGGAAGGCCTGGAGGAATGTTGTCCATGGGGTCGCGATGGGTCGGACAGGACTTCGCGACTAACAACAACAGTTTCCCCCCACCTTTACCAGTTTTGCTTTGACAGATGAAACTACAACTCACTGAAGTATATCCAGTCTGAACTATACATATATTGATGAAATATAAACACACACTTTCATACCTCCAAATTAGAAAGATATTTGTACATGTTACTGTGATCAACTAAAAAAATGCAACTTTTTGAGACTGAAAAATAAACACAGAACAGTGACAAGCAAAAAGGAGTAGTGGTTAGAGTGAAAAGACAAGAAGGACTCTGCTATGAAGGACAATAGAATTCTGGCTAATGGACAGAGGGAGAAGGGAAGAACAACTCACTGTAAGCCCAAACTCCTGCTGGGCATGCTGCGTCTGTTCTGTGAACAACCAAGACATCGTGGCTTATTCACAGGGTGGTTTAACATGTCAATTTGTATACCACAATGCACCCAATGCATTAATAGCTCAAAGTCCTGCAGCTTCAGGACTGAACAGAGACTCTGTTGGGGTGAAATCTGGGAGATTTGGGTTCCAGTCCATATTTGAGCACAACACTCACTGGGTGACTTTGGGCCATCTCTGATTCTAACCTAACCTACCTCACAGGGGAGTTGTAAGGATAAGTTTAAGAAAAGGAGAATTAAGTCTGAATTCCTTGAAAGAAAAAGGCAGAACAGGAATCTAAATAAATACCAAGTTTGACACCACTTTTTCAACTTTTCTCTCACTTTTGCCCCATCCCCATTTCATTCCACCAATTCGTATCACCTCTTCCCTAGCATCTAGGTTCCAGCTTAAAAGCTTCCTCTTCTATCATGCACTCAGTCTATTGTTCTGATTATTTTAGTGTTGACTCTTTAACATTAATACCTTAACATTCTATTTTCAGTGTTATATTGCTGTTATTTGTGGTCTTTTATCACTGTAAAATGCCCAAAGACATTTGTGCATTGGAGGATATAGAAAGCTAATAAGCAAATGAAATCCATTATAATAACATACCCCTTCTCTTTCCCCTCCATGAAAACTCTTCTCTGGGCATCTGTCCCCTCAAGTATTGCAATTTTCTCTCTGTTTTTCCATTGCCTCACCTTCATCCCTACACCTTTATCCAGTATTCTGCTGCCAAAATTATTCTTATTTCTTGTTGTCACTTAACACCACCCCTTAAATCTCTACGCTGGCTTTCTCCGTTCTGGATCATGCATAGGTTTCGGATCCCTGCTCACCCTTATCTCTCCATACTTCTATCACAAAACATTGTTCCCAGGTCCTTTGCTCTTCCAGCTCCACTAATAGCCATCCAAAGGTCACCTGTTCAGTAAAACAAGTCTGGCCTTATTCCTTTACATGTGGAAAAGCCTCCTAAAATGTCAAGAATGGAGTTCTCCTATTCTACAACCCTGTGTAGGATGTCCTTCACTCCAAGGTAGGACAGAATATGGAGTTATTGTAAGAATTCCTTCTAAGTGGAAACAAAAAATAGCCTGTTCCCATGCATTTTGGAGGAGAGTTACTACAGACAAAATTAAGAATACCATTCCTCCAGGAGCAGATGAAGTTCACATCAGGTAGATCTGTTTTCCAAGGCTTTCTTGTGAGGCATGCAGTCTTAGTAAATGAGCCCCATCTGGCACAGTTAATATATGTTGATTGTTTTTGTTAATATGGTGTATCTCACACTAGTAAGGCCACAATCCTATGCATATTTCAACTGAAGTCCTGACGCTCCCATGCTGGAATGTGAATTTTTTTCCTGCCTAAACATGCACCCTACTCTGGTTAGGCCCTGCACCCAGACACTGACTAGTAGAGCAAGCCTGTGCAATAGGTCCTTCCACCTACATGTAGAAGGAACACTTACAATATGTAGAATGTTACAGCTCATACATTGCGTTTTAATTAAGTTAAATGCCTTGATAAATTGAGAGTCATATGAGAGCAATTCTTATTATCCCAGGATGAACTGTAACCACCATTCCTGAGAGCTGCCTTAATTTTTCTACCTAGTTTAATCTAACAAACTGTACCTGCCACCCCAAGTATAACCATCTAGCTAAAATACAAAATAGGAGGTGCAAGAGTACAGAAATAACTTCCTTTGATCTTTCCATATTGCAGTAGATGCTCAGGTGCTTATTAATATCAAGGGCATAACCAAGAGGATCATACCCTTAATATTCTATATTTTAAGACTGCATCACTTTAAAAACTCAGCCCAACTAATTGCTATAGGTAAGGAAACTGGTTTTACCTGCAAACCACAACTGGCTGCTTCCACTATTGCCATGCAAAATGCTTCTGTGAGAGAGGTGTTAAGAAAAATGTGTCCCTGGACCAAGACGTTTCTAACATCCCGATGTTCTAAAGCTCCCAGGAGACGAACTCTGCATGGAATTATGAAAAACAAGTTTTTTAAGATAATTGTTACAAAAGTCTTCCTGACTATGACATGATCACAGCAAGAATCAAAGACTTGTACATGCTACTGATTTCATTGCAACAAGTACATAAAAATGCTCTATTGACATTATGGGTGTGAAAAATATTTATCTTTGCAGCGTATCAAAACAGGCAGTCCAACTATCATAAATTTTGTTACAACAGGCATAATTCAACAGCAGCGTTTTTTCCAAGACCTTTTGATTTCAGCTTCCCTATTACATTCAATGAAGCATAAACAGGTTTAGCTTTGGCTGGATCATGCCTTCAAAATCAAGCAAAGAGAAATGTGATAATGAATGCACACATGTGAAGAAGTTCCAGGACCATCCACACCTTATTGCTCTGTAAATCCTGTGTGATTTTACACTTTCACCAAACAACTGAATTGAGAATTGGGAAAAATGACCACAACATTTAACAATGCTTTAGGGACTTGTTTTCTTAATATTGCTACTCAGTTTTCAGAGGAACATATTTTGAATGTCACAATTTAAAATACTAGCTTTTTATATGTTAATTCATTTGCTTTTAATATTAGAAAGATCTGGGCAGGTTGTGTATTCAAGCTGCATATCCTATTTTAGCCTCTATGGAAACGGCTAAAGCAAAACAAGGAAAGAAAAGATGACAAGCTCTACAAGGGCCTAAAGAAAAAAGAGGCATTTAAACTGCTCAGAAGTATTTGAAAGCAATTTTGAAAAAGATTTAAGGAGAATAATGCTGATTACAACCTAGCAAACTGAGGCTACAAGTCATATTTAACTTACCTAGGAGTAAGTCTCATTGAAGTTAATGGGATTTACTTCTGGGTAGACATGCATAGGATTACAATAGTTGGGGGTGATTGGTCTCCTTTCTAGATCCACACCCATCTACACACAACTGCACACATGATATGATAAAACTGAACATTCTCTTAAGTAAATCATATAAGCTTTATTAAACAATAGATCCAGTATTTTTATCAACTGAGCCAGCATTTCCAGAATTGAAGATATTGTTTCAGAAAAAGAATATAGTAGAGAAAAACTGTAACAAGCTGCTCAGTTTAGTTCAGATCTGTCAGGTTTAAGATAGCTACTGACATTATCTATGTTCTGTAGCACCCCCTATTTCTGTCCCTCTCCTCATTTTTCCCATCCCTTCAATTATCTCAAGTGTTATGTTTTAATATGGAAGGCACACACCTGTCATGTAGCTGGTATCGTTCCCGTACTTCTTCCAATATAATCCGTTTTGGTCCTTCACCTCCAACTAAGAAATGTAAATCTGGATACTTCTGACAAAGCTCAGGAATTATACCGCTAAGCAAATCTATACCTGAAGCCATAATAGTTAAAAACAGTTATATGAAAAGAATTGTTGAAGCAATCATGTTAGATTTACAAGTTAGTATCAAACAAAAGTGACAAAAGATCATATTAATACATTCCTTAATAATACTTATAATACTTATATTAATAATTATAATATTTAATAATATATATTAATAATTATAATACTTATATTAATAATATTTTAGTTAAGTTCCTTGACATTGATGTTTTACTGTAACCAGATTTATGGGGGATGGGAAGAGAGATAGGGGATTGCAAAAGTTCACAATAACTCCAAGAATATGTTTCCAAAGAAACCATTTGCTAACATGGGACTCCAGTGGAGCTTCATAACTACGCATCTACTATATTATACCATAAGGTTTTGTGAGGCAACTGCCTTTGGTAAAACATACCATAATCCTACCTCTATAGCCAAGAATTAATGGAAAAAAGCATGAGGCAGACTAATTATGGGACAGCATCAACATAATTGAGCAAATCTTAACAACTGCAACACAGTAACTTAGATAGGTACTGACATCCAGCACCTGCAGCTCCATCCTCTGCTTGTTTACTTAGTAGCAAGTCCTGCTGAGATTAGTGGGATTTACACCCATGTAAGTATGCACAGGATTAATCCGCACATACAGAATATGTTGCTTTCAGCTTCCTGCATTCTACCAGGAGTGGAGCAAAGAACAGACTAACAGGAAATCTACTCTTAGAAAAAGTAGCACAGATATATGCAAAATCCTAGTGTCCAACCACTAGTCCACAGCTGGCAGCAACATCCAACAAGGAAATGCATTGCTCCAGCAAGGAAGACCTATTCAAAGGAGGGCACCTGTTTATGTGGTATACAATTGACCTTGTACTGGAACACATAAATAGGTGTACTCTTTCAGAATTGCTCTTGAGTAATTCATTTATCTTCTGGCTTTCTTCTGGTGTGCATGTTCCTCCCCAAAGATAGATCTCCAGGTGTTTAGGATTTCGATCCCCAAAAGTCCCTGCTAGCAAAGGCTGAGAGAAGTGACTAGCCTAAGGTCACCTAGTGACCTTCATGGGTGATGGAGAGAGAGAATTTGAATATGGTTCTCCCCAGTCCTGGTCTTAAATAAGTTGTTTAAAGGTTACACACATACCCCAGCTTTGCTGCACCAGGATTGAAAAGATCCGTCTGCATGAAGCATTTAATGTACCAAGGCAGTGTCAGTGCTCGTTAAACAATATTTGTTGTTTATCCTAGGATTTTGGGCAGTCCCAAAAGGTCCAAAAACATGTCCATTTGTATGTATATGTATACAGGCAAACACAGGGCCCTACAAGTGTCATATAATCACCTACGGAGGAATCAAGGCCATTTACTTATAAAGGGACTTCATGGAAAACCCAGTGGTATGAACAAGTACCCTCCTTCTTGGGCCTACAACAATTTGCCTACTCACAATAGCCTTCTCAAGTCACCAAAGTCATGTGAAAGCACAACAAACTCTGTATAAGCTCCACAGAAAAGTTTCAGTTCATACAAAACTGGCACACCCATGCAATCCCTATCAATGGTGTGCCAAAGGTCTTAACTGTATCTTAGTCATGAGGTAACACCTATCAGGACTAAGTCAGCTGTCTGCCAGTCAGTAACTGTAAAACTGTTTAAAATACAATTTCTGATCAATTCCATTAACATTTCAAAGAAGAAACTACATTTAAATGCAACTTATAGTCCAGACCTCATTACCTTTTCTATATACAAGTCTGCTGACAACAACAATAGTTATTGTGTTGTTGTCCCGCCTAGATTCATCTGGAGTGAAGTCAGTGGGATCAACAGCATTTGGGATGACAGAAACTATCTCAGGATTCAGCGCCGCTCTCAACACTGTGTTCTCCTTGCTAGTATAAGAAACACATATTATGTGGTTTGTATCACACAGTGATACAGTTAGGAGTTTGTTTGTAAGTACTGAACTGACATCCGCAAATCCAAAAAGGGAATGATCTGTAAAAACCGTCCGTAGTTGCATTGTCTTGGCATGGAACAGTGCATCATGAGCCATGGCAGAAAAAGAACTATGTGCATGAACAATGGTGACTCTTTCCCGTACAAAGATATACCTGAGCAGAGGCAGACTGTGGAAGAGAGTTGTTGCCGTAGACTGGTTGTACATAACTCTCAATGGCAAATAATAAACCTTCAGTCCATTGGTGAGGTAACGGATGCCTTTACGGTCTTCATAAGCATGTGTGACTATTATAACTTTGTGTCCTCTTTCAATTAGGCACTGTGATAATTGGTAAATGTGGCTTTCCACACCTCCCATGTTTGGATAAAAAAAATCAGACACCATGCATATACGATGAACCTGATTAGCACAGGTTGGAAATTTATAAGAGTTTGCAGTGGAAGAGAGAGAATGAGACTCCCTGTGATTTTCCCTCTTTCTACAGGCCATGTTAGGGTGGCAATTTGTCCATGTGGTAGCCATTCCATATGAAGAACAGGCTCCATTCAGTACCTAGGACAGTAAATGGAAAAAGGTACATTATATGTTAAAGCTAAAAGAAAAATTCTCGCTACTTACTGCTGCTGTTACACGAAGAGCCCTATATCTTACAGAGTTACCCTGTGTGTGATTACGCAAAAGTAAGTCACACCGTATTTCTGAACAGCTATTCCCATTCCTGTAGTGTTTGGGATTGCAGCAATAGCTAGAAGGCAAGCTGCAGCATTTCAGGAATTGATTAAGAAGTACAGTAGCTGTCTGCTGCCGGCAGCTGCATTTCTGCGCGACCCCTGCATGAAGTCAAGCACAAAGCAATAAACGAACAATAATTAAAGTCAGGCACTAATTACAGTATCCGAGGCATATTTATTCAGAAATAAGCATCGCTGTGTCCTGTAGGGCTTAGTCATAACAGAGTCCCCCTAGTCTGGAGGGATGCTAGGCAGGAGGAAGAAGGTCAAGTTTACCTGTCATTAACAAAATACACTGAAAAAATTCCCACAGTTCTGACTCGCATTTGCTTTACAAAAAGCCAAGTGAGCCTCCTCAGAACGCACCGAACCCACTCCCACCAACCTGGCATCTCATTCACTCACCTGCGCTTCTGACCGCGAGGTTCTAGCCAGTCAAAGTCCAATTCCAATTCCAACCCATTTCCGGATTAATTTAAGGCGGGAGCGCGCAAACCCAGCGGTTCCTGCGCTCATCTAAGCAGTAACCCTATCTTCACATCCTAGGTTCTTCAGACTCCGCGCGGCAAGTGGCCAATCCAAGGACAAGGAACCAACCACGTGGGGTAACAAAAGCCAATCCCAGCGCTTAGAAGACTTCTCAGGAAGTAGGCTCTGACGAGCAGTTGACGGTTTCCAGAGACTGGCTGTTCGCCGTATGCCGGTGTGGAGCACGGAGCTTTCCTCTCATTGGCTGGGTAGCCTCTTACAAAATCGCCCCCCCCGAACTTCGCTACCATTCTCCGCGCCTAGAATTACTTAGCAACGTTCTCTAGCCTGTCCTTTGAATCTATGATGGTAACCCTTAAGTGTTCTGGAAGCTCCCCTCTGGCTGGAGCACAGGCTTGGCTTTGGGGCGGGTCCACTTCTTCGTCTGCATCTCTTGCTAATTCTAGACTCACCTCCATAGGCAGTTCAGCAACAGCAAGAAAAGGTCGTAGCACCTGAAAAAAGTCGTATTCATCACCAGCAGTAGAGGAAAAAAAGAGGCAGGCAACTGGACTGGTGCGGTGATTCATATAAGGAAGCAGTGCGGTGCAACAAGTAGGCTTAGGGGTAGGCGACTTGTGACTCTCCCGATGTTTGGGCGTACGAGACCCATCGGTTCTAGCGAGCATCCCCAAGGGTGTGGGATCGTGGGAGGTGTAGATCACAACATTTGCAGGTCACAACAAGTTGCCACCTGAGCCTAGTTGCTAAACCAGACTGCTTCCTTACATCCAGTAGCTGCTGAAGTCAGATCAGTCATAAAGGAAATGGGCATAGATGACTCATAGATTTGTAGAACAGCCTTCCTCAACTGGAGCCCTTAAGTTGAGTTGGAATACAACTTCCCTAATTCCCAGATAAGATTGGTGTAGACCAGAACATAAGAATGTGAAATTGTGAAATCAGACCAAGATCAATCAGTTCCCACAGCTCACAGGCATGACATGAAGGCAAAATTCTTTCCCAAGAATGTTTCCTAGTATTTGGGATTTCCCAGGAGATAATCCTGATTGTAACTTCTTCATACACTTCCCCAACAGAATCCCTTTCTTGTCTCCAGTGCCATAGCCCTGCTGCTCAGCAGTTGCTCTATGTGTTTCAATATTCTAAATCAGGGGTGTCCAAACTTTTGGCTTCTCTGGGCCACTTTTGAAGAAGAACAATTATCTTGGACTGCACATTAAATATACAAACACTAACAAAACGTGATAAGCCAAAAAAAAAGTCTCTGCATAATTTTCATGATATCCACCACCACAGATAAGCAAAAACGTCTTCACATAATAATCCTAAGTATTCCGCAACCTGTTCAGAGAGTCTTTTAAAATCATCAAGCAGGTCCCAAGTTTGCAATCACTAATATAGAAAATGAGCATATCTAAGTAGTAAAACTGAAGCCACACATGCATACAAATAGTGAGAGCATATGTACATTTATTTTACATGACATTTATTTATTTATTTATTATTTATTAAAACATTTTTATGCCGCCCCATTCGCCGAAGCCTCGGGGCGGCTTACAACAAAAAGATTAAAATAACATTTTAAAATATATACAATAAAATACAAATATATAATATAAAACATACACTATAAAACAAGCTGCCCTGGCCAAATAAAATTCAAAAATATTAACATTTAAAATACTGCTTAAATAAAAAGGTCTTCGCCTGGCGCCGAAAAACAAATAACGACGGCGCCAGGCGGACCTCTCTGGGGAGCGCATTCCATAACTTAGGCGCCACCGCTGAGAAAGCCCTCCTCCGAGTAACCACCCTCCTAACTTCTTCCATGGAGGGCTCCCGGAGAAGGGCCTCTCCCGCTGATCTCAGGGGGCGGCTGGGCATATAAGGATGTAAGCGCTCCTTCAGGTAACCAGGACCCAAGCCGTCTAGGGCTTTATAGGTCATAACCAACACCTTGAATTGGGCCCGGACTTCAATGGGAAGCCAGTGAAGCTGACGGAGAACTGGAGTCATGTGAACATAACGTCCAGTCCCCGTCAGCAGCCTGGCAGCTCTATTTTGGACCAATTGAAGTATCCGGACCATCTTCAAGGGTAGCCCCACGTAGAGCGCGTTACAGAAGTCCAGACGGGAAGTCACCAACGCATGTGTCACTGTCGCAAGGCAGTCATTCTCCAGATAGGGGCGCAGCTGATGAATTAGCCGAAGCTGGAGGAAAGCGCTCCTCGCCACTGCTGTTACCTGAGCTTCCAGTGAAAGCTCTGGGTCGAGGAGCACTCCCAAGCTGCGAACCTTGTCCCTAAGAGGGAGTGCAACCCCATTCAGGACAAGGTTCAATTCACCCTCTCCGAAGCTCGATCCACCAACCAACAGGACCTCCATCTTGTCTGGATTGAGCTTCAGTTTATTGGCCCTCATCCAGCCCATTACCTCGGCCAGGCACCGGTTCAGCACAGCCACTGCCTCACCTGGATTGGTGGAAAACGAGAGGTAGAGCTGGGTATCATCAGCGTACTGATGGTTCCGCAGCCCACACCTCCTGATGACCTCTCCCAGCGGTTTCATGTATATGTTGAACAGCAAAGGGGACAAAATGGACCCCTGCGGTACTCCATGGCATAGCTGCCATGGCGCAGAGCCATAGTCCCCCAGCACCACCTTCTGGAACCGGCCATTGAGATAGGAGCGGAACCACTGCAAAGCAGTGCCTCCAACCCCCAATCCCGCAAGCCTATCCAGAAGGATACCATGGTCGATGGTATCGAAAGCCGCCGAGAGGTCCAGCAGAACCAACAGGGACGCACTCCCCCTGTCCTTCTCCCTGCACAGGTCATCGTACAGGGCGACCAAGGCAGATTCAGTACCGTACCCGGGTCTGAAGCCGGACTGCAATGGGTCCAGATAATCAGTTTCATCCAAGAGTGCTTGGAGTTGTCCCGCCACCACTCGTTCTAACACCTTGCCCAGAAACGGGATGTTGGCCACTGGTCTATAATTAGTGGCCATCTCTGGATCCAGTGACACCTTCTTCAGGACCGGTCGGACTACCGCCTCCTTCAAAGGGGCAGGCACCCGACCCTCCCTCAGAGAAGCGTTAACCACTTCCAAGATCCAGGTTCCAATCCCGTGCTTGGAATCATTTATTAACCAAGACGGGCAAGGGTCCAAAAGGCAAGTGGTTGGACGTACTTGCCCAAGCACCTTGTCCACATCATCGGGCCGCAGTAACTGAAATTCATTCAATAAATCTGGACCAGACGGCAGCGTTGGTGTCTCCTTTGAAACCTCTGAATCAATAGTGGTGTCCAGCTTGTGACGAATCTGAGCGATTTTCTCCCTGAAATGCCTGGCAAAGTCGTCACAGTGGGCGATGCAACACAATGTTGTCATCTATAAAGTTCATGCTCAAGAACTGTGCAATCAAGTTACAAAAAATGCAAAAAATGTTTATGATTCTATGTTGGGCTGCATTCATAACCATCCTGGGTTGCATGTGGCCTGCACGCTGTGGCCCTGTTCTAAAAGGAGGGTTCCAGGGAATTCAGGGAAGGTTTTTATAGTGAATCAGCCATTTATAAGTCATCCAGAATGAGCTGGGTTGCAATGGTAGCTACATTTTGAAAATGAGAAGTTTTGGGCCACAAGCTGCTTGCCTGGATTCTATTTTTCCTAATTCCTTATGCAGTCATGCTTCAAAGAATGGTACCGAAGGGCTATTGGACAGCACTGGTAGCTTCTGAATGGCGTTAGAAATACTTTGTAGTTCTAACTGAGACCAAGGCAATCCAGGGCCATTCACTGCCATTCTCCTTTGTATATCCCTATGGCAGCAGTGTGTGGTTAACCGCAATGTTATGATGCTTGGAGCAACAAGGTATGTAAGAACCATGGAAAGGAAAGACAGATTCTAGTATCTGCTTAGGACTGGAAGACAGAAATACTAGTCCTGTTTTGCTAGAAGCACTGACTGGGAAACTTTGGGAAATGTTGGATTTCATTCTGTCTAAAAATGCACAGAATTGTACCCTATGCCCCTTTTTAAATCCAAGTGTGCACAAAATTTGTGTGTTACATTTTGTCTAGATTAAAATAAGACAATAATAGACAGTATTTTTGTAATGTTTGGTTTGATTCTCTCAAATATTGTATTTATTTTGTTACTGTTCTCAGAACAGCTCAGGGTGTTGTAATTAAGAGATATCTAATTTTTACCCTCCCAACAGCCCATTGAGGTAGGTCACATTGGGAGAGGAAAGATTATCTTACAGTACCATGTGGCTCAACAAATATTACAATTATGATTGGCATCGCTCCCTCTCTTCCCCCCATCCACCTCTCATGTTTCATATCACCAGTAACTGTGCTGTGAACATTACATTAGAGCTTCATTACTCTTGTGAATTAGGACATCCTCCAGTGTATCACAGATATAAATAAGGACAGACTTGCATTGCATAAGCAGCAGTCCCTGCCAATAGATTGTGCTTGGGTAGAGGGTCCAATCCACATACAGTGTCCCAGACTGAATTATAAAATCCTCCTGGAACCTACTGCTTCCAAATCAGATTTGCTCAGTTGGAAAGCAGTTAGAGGTTTAGCTACCCGGACACTATACTTTGTGCCAACCCTTCAAGAGGCTCAAAGGGTGGTAACTAGGGGGAGAGCCTTTTTGGTGGTGGCCCCCCATCTTTAGAATAACCTCCCTGCTGTGGCCTGCCTGGCACCAAATTTGCTTTATTTTTGGCACCAGGTCAAGATAGCCCTCTTTGCAGAAGCCTTTAAAGATCTCCCTGGTCTTTACCCAGGTCCCTTTCATTCTTGGCCAGGTCTTTTTAATTATCTTTTTAATTGTCTTTTAATGTTTTATGCTATTTTAAATTAATTTTAAACTCTTGTTAGTTTTTTCATCTATTGTATTTTATTATTTTTACACCTTTTGTAAACTGCCCATAGAACTTTGGCTATGGGCAATCTAGAAATGTAATAAATAATAATAATGATAGAGGTCAAGAGTTAAACAAGAGTTTTAAAGTTTGTGGACTGTGAGTGATCCATTCTGATTAAGTTAGTCAACATGACCATACTTCCCTTTTCTGGTTATAATGAACCAAACAGGAAAGGAACTGTTTCATTTTCAAGAAGAAAAGAGTAAGTAGAGTCCTTTGACAGACCTGGGATGGAAGGCAGCAGAGTGACCATTGCAAGAACATGGGAACCTCCAGTTGTTTTGGGATGATAACTCCTGTCATTCCAGATCATAGACACTGGTTGTTGGTGCTGATGGGAGTTGTAAAGTGAAACATCTGGAAGGACCCAGGATGTGGAAGGCTAGAAGTAGGGAGAACTATGCATATATTAGTAGTAGTAGTCTCAAGACCAGTTCAGTGTATCTCTGATTGTTACAGTGGCTATATGTTGTTTCTGTTTTTGATGTTGTTGGTCTGTGTTTTGTTACACACGCACACACACGTACGTAAGGGAGAGAGAAAGAGAGAAGTAAAGAGGACTAAATCATGTGATTACCCTTTCACTTACTTGCGTATATGATTCCTGTGGGTGGGAAGCAGAAAGTTCACTCTGGAAAGTTCTGCCTGCTCACTCAGGCTGCCTCTCTCTTTTGGTAGCATGGTGGAAAGACTGAGTCCAGCAAGGCCACCCAAAGGGAGCAAGAATAACCAGAACCCCTGCTTGGCCATGTGCCCTTCCTCTGGGAGCACAGTGGAAAGACCTAGACCAGTGGTGGTGAACCTATGGCACATGTGCCACAGCGGGCACGCAGAGCCCTCTCTGTCGGCACGCAAGCCAAGTCACGCCAGCATCACCCCAGCAGCCAAGCATTGGATAACAGCGCACACAGGGGTCATGCACATGCTCAGAAAGGAGTAGTGGCACCAGGCGATGACGTCATGAGCCACGACTTATTTGCCGCAACTCGTCCGAGCTTTTGCACTGCCAAGGAGATACATACATACATACATACATACATACATATATATATTTGCTTGGACTGGCTGTCAGTTTTAATACATTTGTTTTTATTAACACAAGATTTTAGCTTTGAGTTTTCTTATGAAAAAATGAAATTTAATATCTAAGATTTAGCAAAGAGATGTTCTAATTAAGAGACGGAGATTCTTTTAATGTTGAGCTGTCCCCCTGGCATATTTGAGTCAAGGTTTGACAAATTATCAGCATGCATACAACAGCAAAGATCACATTAATTGTGCAAAAAGTATGCCAAATGCAAACTTTTACCTTTCAATAAAAAGCTGTTTGTATCATTGAAAGCTCTGTTACTGTATTTTTCTTTTAAGACAGAAGATGTTAATGTATGAGTTGTTTTTTTCTAAACTAAAACCTCAGTATTCAGGTTTTATTGCAGTGTTGGCACTTTGCAATAAATAAGTGAGTTTGGGGTTGCAGTTTGGGCACTCGGTCTCTAAAAGGTTCACCATCACTGACCTAGACTCACTCTCTCGCCAGCACATGCTGCCTGAACAGAGAGCACAGAGGAGCAAATGAGAGGATGGAGGGGACTTTTTGTGGCACAAGCAGGTACAGCTGCCCACTGAGAGTAAAGCCGTGAGGACTGGGCCCAGCAGGTCCTGTCCTCCCCACTGCACTAACCAGAGAGTATGAATAGGCTGAGCAGAGGCAGCAAGCTCTGGGAATGTTATGGGGCCTGCTCTTCTTCCCTGGTAGGGATGGAGGGGTGGGAGTGAAGTGATCCACCAGTTCTTGCTTTCCTCCTCCTGCTGACAGGGTAGACTTAGCCCAAGGGGATGTGAATGCCTATTGCCAAGGGTCCCCGAGCAGACTCACGCATTTGAGGATCAGGCTCCATGATTGCCCTCTTTTCCTTTAATTCTACCTCCAACAATCACTGGGTGCCATCCAAGATATTTGGACTTCAGTTCCCATCATACCCATCATTGGCCATGCTGGCTTGTGTTGACATGAGCAGAAGCCCAAGGCACCCAGAGCAGCCACCACACTGGGGAAGGCTGCACTAAGCTGTCTGGGGAGCATAAGTTGTAGCCCTCCAGACAGAGGGAAAAGATCCAAGTCTTGGCCCACAGCATTAAAATAGTAATGTACAAATATGCATATGCTAATTTAAATACACTTTACAGTCTCTATGCGTATCTTTAAGTCTTTGTCTCCAGTGGACACTCATATTTATAAAAAGTTATGTATGGACAAAGAGAGTGGAGCATTTCAGAAATCAGGCTTTCAGGTGGGGGGGGGGAAGGCTGGCTTAAAGATTCAAAGGAGAGGGCAGCAGGAGGTGAAGCACTTCAGCAAAAGGCTGCTAGTTGTGGGATGGGGGGCCAGACGCAGCAGAGATCATCAGGACCTCTGTACCTTTATTGCAGCAGGTGCCAGTGGAAAGGAGGTGGTGAGGCACCAGCGATTTGGGGCTCCAGCCTAGTGGACCTCGCCTTGTCCCAGCCTGTGCCCAAGGCGTTTTGTCTCACAACTCCCATCAGCTCCAGCCAATGCCGCCGCTAGTTAGGCAGAGCAGCAGTTGCTGGGCAAAACATCTAGAGCCTGGAGAGCCACAAGCTGCCTGCCCCGGCACAATCCCCTTCCTTAAGGGTGCAGAACCCGCAAAAAGCAGCACATGGAAGTGCCAGAGCGAGGCAGAAGTGCGGTGCGCGGGCAGCCTCAGCCGCGCACCCACCGTCTGGGCTCCGAAGGCGCCCCCTGCCAACTCCTCGGGCAAGTGAGGCGGATCGAAGGAGTATCGCCTTCCTCAGGCAGCCGCGTGGAGGAGCCGTTCCGCCGAGAGAGGCAGAGACACGCAGCAGCAGCGACGCTGGAAGCGAAGGAGGAAGAGGAGGGGGCGGCTCCAGCTCGTACCGGTCTACCCGCCCCGGCCGAGCCGTCACTGCCGGACTGCCGCTCTTCCCGGCTCCCAAGAAAGCGCGGCACCTCCGGTCCGTGTCTGCGGCTGCCCTCGAGGCTCCGCTGGAGGAACCCGCCGCCGCCCGCTTCTCCGGCTCCACTCCTCTCCGCATGGAAGGCGGCAGCTTGCGAGCCTTCGGGCCCCGTCGCTGCCCTTTCGGAGGAGCAGGCAGGGCAGGACTGAGTTAATCAGGGGAGCTTTCGAGAGGGGCATTGTCGGGGCGCGGCACCAGCCCCTTTTCGCTCAGGCCCGTCCGTGGAAAGCAGCGCCTGCGCCAGCAACACAGCATCACCCGTCGGCCAGGAGGTGGGAGCACGGCTGTTAGCCAGCCTCCAAGCAACTTCCACAAGCCATGTTTCCACAGCCCCTCATGCCTCTCGTGGCAAGAGGCAAGGAGATGGGGCCCACTTCCGTGCGCCGGGCCACCGTGTCTGCCAGGACCCGCTCCCGAAGTGCCAGTGGCACTATGTTCTTGCCATCTATGCTGATGTTTGCTGTGATTGTGGCCTCCAGTGGACTCCTGCTTATGATCGAAAAGGGGATTTTGGCGGACGTGAAGCCCCCACCGCTCCATCCCTCGCATGGGGAGCTGCCTTGGAGGAGGGTTGGCAGTGCCAGATCAGCATCAGAGGATGTGGACTACCAAGTACTGCAGGATATCCGGAATCGGACCATCCGTACTATGTGTGGACAAAAAAACATGCCTCAGAGTGTCTGGGACCTCCCGGCAGGCCAGAGGAGGACTGCACTCAAACACATTCTGGTTAGTGACAAACATCGTTTTCTGTACTGCTATGTCCCCAAAGTGGCCTGCTCCAACTGGAAACGGATTCTTAAAGTTTTGGATGGTGCATTGGAGAGTGTGAATATGAAGCTTAAAATGGACCACAAAAGAGACTTGTTGTTCCTAAGTGACATGAAGCCAGATGAGATCCGTTACCGACTAAAGCACTATTTCAAGTTCATATTTGTTCGGGATCCAATGGAAAGGCTTTTATCAGCTTATAGGAATAAGTTTGGAGAAATCAAAGAATACCAGCTAAAGTATGGCGTGGAAATCGTAAAAAGGTATAGAAAAAACCCTGGGAAAAGCACAGGTGATGATGTTACCTTCTCTGAATTTCTCCAGTACCTCTTAGATGAAGAAGTGGAGAGAATGAACGAACATTGGATGCCCATCTACAACTTGTGCCAGCCGTGTGCAGTGAGGTACGATTTCATTGGATCCTATGAAAGACTGAATGAGGATGCCAATTATATTCTTGAAAGGGTTCAGGCACCCTCTTTTATACACTTCCCAGAGCGGCAATCATGGTATAAGCCAGTGACTCCTGAAACTCTGCATTATTTTCTGTGTAACACTCCAAGGGGGCTTGTAAAAGAGCTCTTACCAAAGTATATTCTGGATTTTTCTTTGTTTGCTTACCCTCTACCCAATGTTACCAGTGAATTTTGCAGGCAATAAACTGTTCCACTGTGAAAAAATCCATGTCCTATGCAATTTCCTAATGTTATATATTGTATGAACACCTTTGACATCAAATGCCTTGCTATATATGCTGCCTTTAGCTTAAAAATAGCTTTAATTTTTATAACATATGTATATGCGTCATTGAGTTAAGCACACTTTTTTTATTTGGGGTGCGTTTTTTGTATATTTTAGGAAATATGCATTTTTGTAGAGTTACTAGAGCATCAACTGCAGGACAGTCACATTTTGAAAAGAAACTGCAACAGCAACAGCGCAAGATTTGTGGAGAGGGTTCAAGGGCCTCTACATGCAGGCCACATGCTTGCACTGTTGGGGCTTGTCCTGTGAGCGTAGCAATTTGATAGGTTTTTTATTACTACTTTATTTCAGTATTAAACATCTTGATATTTATGAGGTACTGTTTCTATTGGTAGAGTTATAGAGGATGCTGTCTTCATTTATCTGGCAACAATTCCCATTCAACTTGTTGGAATTACTTCTCAATAGATACATATAGGATAATGTTATAAGTTAACTACCATGTTTCCCTGAAAATAAGACTGGTTCTTATATTAATTTTTGCTCCAAAAGATGCACTAGGGCTTATTTTCAGGTGATGTCTTATTTTTTCATATACAACAATCTACATTTATTCAAATAGTCATGCCATCTTCTTCTGAAACATTGTCATAACACTCCAAACTCCGAATTGTGTTGCAACAGACATAATAAATGAGTTCGTCTGGCTGACGATGTTAACTGGAGCATATTTTGGGAGTAGGGCTTATATTACGAGCATCCTGAAAAATCATGCTAGGGCTTATTTTCCGGTTAGGTCTTATTTTTGGGAAAACGGTATTTTTCGCTATTATTTTCTATCATAGAAAATGTAATGCCCTGATCAAAAATTATGTATGTCAGCATCCCTTTGCATATGAAAATGTGTGACCCACAGTACTGAATTAGCAGGCATTGATATGCTCTTTCTTTAAGTACTTATTTGACTAGTTCAGCAAGTCATAGGAATTAGCATTTATAGAGCAACCATAATCCATGTTTACTGAAAAGTAAGTCCTACTGTATTCATTGGAACTTACTCAAGCTTTGACAATTGCAGCCTTTAAAATGTCAGTATGGGAAAACACATTCATACAGTTCGCCTGTGAAACAACCAAAACGTTTAGATAACCTGAGGTTCAAAGAAGCATTGTTTGTATAGTATGATATTGCTTTGAGAAAACAGAAAGGTGAGTGGATACTTCCAGACAGAGGCTCTTAGTGCATTGTGCAGCTGTGCCATTATTTTCTCTTTGCAAGATTTTCTGTGGAATGTAAAAAGATGGAAGAAGCAGTGGTAAAACATAGGAGGATTACAAGTGGAAGACAACAACTTCTGGACCCCGCTTCACCAAATTCCATGGACAAGGCAGGGCAGCTGCACAACAGAAAGCCTTATCTAGAAGTACTTTGTGTAAAAGCAGAGCTTTAACAAATTTGGAGCTTCGTATACTCTAAGTTCAGATAATGCAGTTTGCTAGGGTACTATCATATGTTCTTTGTTTTTTCCCATGAATATATACACTTTTTGTTAAAATAAAAATTAATATCTTTCTAGTTTATCTCGAAAATTACTTGTGATAGTGTACTTAGAAAACTAGAAAACCTGATTTCTCTAGGATACCTGTTGAAGAAAATTTGATTATTTACATGTATATGGCATTCTCATAGCTTTATATTTAAGTATTATGATTATTCACCATGAAAGAGAGTAGACAAAATGGCTCACACATGTTTATACCATTTTCTTTTAATAAAGTTTGTATGTAATGGTTTTATTGGATATTGTGTTTTACCTTAGGCTATGGAATTTGGAAAGATGAAAGAAGCAACCTCCAGTTTTCATTATTTGAAAAAGAGAAGCATTTTTCTTAACACTGCAGCCAAATTGGTTCTTAACTCAGGTTTAAGCAGTCATGTGTCCTCTTTTATGGAAGACTGCTCACAGTTTTGTAAGTTTCCTCTATTTGAACAGTCATCCAGTCTAAGTCCAATTTAAGACAAAGAACCATCGGAAGGAAGAGCTGGTCCTTGAAGTTGCCCATCAGCAGAACCTGGACAGCAAGCTGAGCAAAGCCTTTACAATCACCTGGTCACCATCTTCCACACTCTGGTAAGATGTATTGCATTTGCATCCATAATTATTACAAAATGTGCAACACTACATAAACATCAGTGTGCACACTTTTTGTGCAAACTAGTATCCTCTTTTATCCTGGATGCATCTTCTCTTTTTGTGAAGATTCATAATTGGCCACCCTAGGTGTCTGCAGCCTTTGGCATCATTTCACGTGCCCTCCAGAAGCAATCACTTAAACTTCTGGCAGGTGTGATGATCTGTCCCTCCCCAGGCATCCCACTAGGCAGGAAGGAAAGGGAGGGGAGCAAGGGTGGCCCCGCTTGCAGTTAGCTTTGGAATGCAGTTCTTAACAGAAACAAGGTTTTCTTCTCTTGCTCTTCCCCTTCCCCAGCTATCTTCAGCTGCTGTGCTAATACAATATGTTATGTGAAAGTGTAGCTTGCTAATCTTAAGGAATACACCAGCTGACTCTCCTTTCCCCTAACTAGGAAAAAAGAATTAATAAATTGCATTTCAGTAGCAGCACAAGCCACTGCTTTCAACCCTGCTGCTTATGCTTGGCCAGAGCACTGAGCTCCAACTAAATGCCTGAATCTTTCCGTGATTATTGCACAAGGCTGCTATACCTGTGCAAGTTGATTGGCATCCATGTTTCAACTGGCATCCTTTGACCTTGGATGAAGCAGGAAGAAAGTCCCTGTCAGCATCAACCATTTCAATTGTTTCCATGAAATATAGCAGTGTGTGATTTCTGGTATCTGTTTACAATGCTAAGTACAGTGGTACGAGCACTCGCACCTTGGCTCATGAACACCTTGGTTCACGAACAGATGGGGGCACAAACAAAAACTTTGACTTGGGTCGTGAACACCGCTTTGGATGGCGACCAAGATCACAGCCATCTCCCCCCCCCCCGCCCCGAGTGGGGAGACGGCCACGATCGCAGTTGCTTTCATGCAGGGAAGGCATGTGTGCTCAGAGGCCCGCTGCTGCAGGAAAGACAGGAGCAGCAGAGCCAAGCCGCAGGGGAGATGGCCGAGATTCCGCCTGTCTTTCCTGCAGGAGCGCGCCTCTGATCAGGCACGCCTTCCCTGCACAAATGGAACTGCAATCGTGGCCATCTCCCCACCTGCAACCAGCACGATCGCAGCCATCTCCCCACCCCTGAGTGGGGAGATGGCCGTGATCATGCTGGGGGCAGGGGGGAGATGGCCGAGATTGCGCCAATCTCTTCCTCCCCCAGTGCACCATTTGCGCCCTTCTCTTCCTCCCGCAGTGCGCTCGTGATCACCCGTCTCTCCCCCACACGCCCCAGCATGCCGGGATGATGGGTGTGTGCAGGGATGACAGGTGCTATCTCAGTTGTGCTGTGGGGGGGGGGGGGGGCCCATATTTTGTTTGGGTGGGGGGGGGGGGGAGATGGCCACAATCTTTATTGTTGTCACTTTGCTTCACATTTTTCTGATTTAAAAAAATGGTTACAGAATGGATTGACCTTATTTACACTGAACCTTATGGGGAAATTTAACTTGGCTCACGACCAATTTGGGTAATGACCAGAGTCCTGGAACGGATTAAGTTCGTGAACCAAGGTACCACTGTATGAGTTCACAAGGCCAGCCCTACCATTAGGCAGAGTGAGAGAGTCATCTCCAGTGACAGCTGTTGGAAGAGAGGGTACACTGCCTTGCAGACACATTTACCTCAGTCCCTTTGATTTTTCCACAGTTCGTTGTGTTACAGCCTGGATTGAAATGGAATTAATTGGTAGTGTTACTACTTGATGCATACTTACAGGGGGGGGGGGGAGAATGAGATGAGAAAGTGCAAATCAGAATCTATCCCTTGTGTGTTTCAGCTGGAGAATGTTTTAAATAATAAGAAGGGCACCATGACATTTCTGGATCCTTTATTCTCTTATTTTCACTTCTCTGATTTTAAGCATTACCTTCTGCTTGTTGATCAGAGCTAGCTTCCAAGAATACTATGTAGTTACATCAAGTGTCCTTCCTTAGAGATTATTTTTAGCACTATATTTCCTCTGAACTTCACTATGTACACACACTTATCTTTTTTCAGGAAGGGTCATTTTTCCACAAAGGAACAGCCATTCTAGATTGGATCAAAGGCCTGTTTAGTCTAACATTCTGTTAGCACAGGGCTCAACAAAACTGCCTGTGAGAAGTCCACAATTGAGCCATGAACATAAAACTGTACTCCTATCCATATTCCCCAGCAACTGACATGAATGTCAGGATCTGGCATTCTGGTAATATATATTCCTCATAACTAGAAGGTATTGTTAGATGTATCCTCCATGAATTTGTGTAATCCTCTTTTAAATGCTTCCAAGTTAGTGGCCATCACTACATCTAGTGGTAGCAATGCTGTGGGAAGTATCTTTTCCCTTTTTAAAACCCTGAATCTTCTACTAGTAAGCATCATCAGGTGACCCTTGAGAAATCTTCCATTTTTCTTAACAGAACCTTGAAATCTACCAAGAGAAAGTTGGTGCAAACAATATACACTTAAGAAGTATACAATTCTGAGTCAAGGAATTTGCTTCAATTTCCTGAATGGAATACAGCTTGTGATTCTTTTACCTCCCCCTTCCTCCAATTTATTTATTTCAGCAGTACAGTGGTACCTTGGCTCACAAACTTAATCAATTCCATGACTCTGGTCACTTCCCAAATTGGTTGTGAGCCAAGTCCAATTTTCCCATAAGGTTCAATGTAAATAAGGTTAATCCATTCTGTAACTTTTTTAAAAAAACACAAAAATTTGAAGCAAAATAACAACAAAGATCACGGCCATCTCCCCCTTGAGCATGACCATGATTGTGCCCATGTTAACCTGCCTGAGCGCTACCACGATCGCGGCCCTAAACAGACGCGATCGCAGTTGCGCTCAGGCAGGGAACATGGGCGCAATCACAATTGTCAACTGATGAGGAGTTCATGACCTGAAGCAAAATTTTTCTGAAATTTCTGTTTGCGACCCGATTTGGTGGTGAACGGAGGCATTTGTGAGCCAAGGTACTACTGTATAATTTAGAGTGGAGGGCCATTTTGTTACTACTGTTGTAACCACCAGGAGACAGAAGTCCTTGCCTGTCTAGTGGAGATCATACAGATAAACCTATAAGATTCAGATCTACTTTTTACCCACTCCTGTTCTAAAGGCCTTCACTTTGGAAAAGATTGTGAATAATGCATATCAAGATTAAAAATCAGTATATACCAAGTTCCCCTCCCAAGTCATCTTTTACATGGAAAATATGCTGGTCCTTCTAAAACCACACATTCCCTGTCCCTGAGTTAAACCATTAATGTTAATTTGCTTTTTCTCTAGCAGAATACTTTTTGGATTACTCCCAATTACTCCCAGAATATTTCCTATCCCCACTGGCTGTAAAATAGAACTACAAAATCAATATGGTCTGTATGGGCTGCATCAGTAATAAAATTCTCAAAATATCAGCTCACCACAAATCAAAATATAATTCATGCTTTACTGCCTCCTGACTTAGCATAGAGGAGCAGCCTTGTAATCCAATGCCTGCCAACTAAATGTGTTTAGATGTAGGGCTAGGTCAATATATTTTGTTCATTACGAGAAGTTCACTGGACTGGCATCTGAAACTTTGTTCAACACTCACAGTAAGATAGTATCCCCTACAACACATGAGGCAGTGGATTACTTGAGGGAAGCCAGCATACACAGCTTGTCCCCCAAGATGTGGGAATAATTGGGGAGCTCAAAAGGCACTCGGCATCTGCTGTTTGAGGTGAAAACCTCACTCGGCCTAATGAAAGGGCCTGCCCTATGCCTTAAGTCATGCATTATAGGGAAAGCCAAACCAGAATATAAACTGGTAGGCTAAAATACATTCCAGTCACATTTTCTCCAACACATTGGGGCAAATGTCTAGTATGAGGACCATATGTCTCCCAGTTAAGTTTTTAAGTTTTATCTTTAAACGGGTTTAAAGTTTTTAAGTTGTTGCAAATTTTAACTGTAAGTCAGCTTGGAGGCTTGTTTGCCAGGCCAGCAGGTGCTGAAGTCTTAGTTTGAAATATTTAAAGACTTACTTGGTCCCCCAGGATTTGAGGGAGATCTCCAGGGGTCTTGCAGAGTCACTGTTCTGTTATTCCTTGTTATTGTCTATTTTTATCATCGGTTATAGCTGTTTTAAACCTTTTAAGGTTTTTTTTCTTATTTTCTGATATTTTATTGTATTGCTATCATCTGTTTTTATGGACTGTATAAACTGCCCAGATAGCTTCAGCCATGGGGTAGTATAGAAATGAAATTACTACTAACAATAATTTGGATCAAAAAGGTGATCCATAAATGTTTGATTACATAATTAAAATTGAAAAGACAAGAAGTGGTATGCAAAAGGGGTCTCATTTAATGTAAAAACAGCAACATTTTCATGAGGACTATTGTTTAAATAATAGGTACAACTCTACAGAAATATGTTTGTGGTCTGCAATGACCAAAAATATTTAAAACCACACAATACATGATAGATAGTTAAGGTCTAACATGAAGCCTCAATAAAGAGAATTCAAAAACTTCTGGGCCCAACTAATTTCTACTAAAATTTTAGAATGACACGACCTCATTTTTAACTATACTTTGTAAGCCTTGTGTATTTTGCTGTAAAACAGACCCAGTGCTGCCCT